TCCGATCTCCGAGACCATAGAATGTATCAACCAACCCATAATGAGGGAATTGGTGATCTCCCACTGATCAAAACTTGGGTCCGTAGTGTTGGGTGCCTGTATCCTACCTCCTGCCATCAACATACCCCATCTTCCCTCTGCTCATCAAGAAAATAGTCAGACTCTACGACCACGCTAGAAAGTTCTGACCATTGAATAAAGAAGTGGTGATTTTAAGGCCAGAGTTGAGATTATTTGTCATAGTAGAAGAGATAACGGAACTCTCGCTCTTAAGCGGCTGAGAAGTTGTTGACTCACTAGTGAAATCTGCCATGAAAATTCTACGAAGCAACCCTCAAACCCAGGACCAATCACAAACTCGGAAGATGGTGGAAGAACAAGCACAACAGTAACTAGAGAAGCATAAAGACTTAAGAACCAAAAATATATTTTTTTTTTTTTTTTTTAACATCACTAGAGTTTTTTTAAACTATGACCTTTTAAATGAAGAACATTACAGACTCAGAGAGAGACGACAGAAGACTCAAGGAGAGACGAACAGTCGACCGCAACGAGAGCCCACAAGCCCAGAGGGGCTGCCGACAAGGGCTAATAAGGCCAGACGAGCTGCCAACAGACCCCTAGGAGGCCAGAGGAACTGCCGACAGACCCCTAGACAACCAGAGGGGCTGCCGACTAAGTCCAAGAGGCAGTCGGAGAGTCCAGGAGGACAGCCGACAACTGAGATAAGTGTGTTGGAGGTGTAGGTGGCCTGTAGGTGGGCTAAGTTAAGGTCAACAGTGGCTGGGTGATAGTCTACAGTGACTGGGCTGTTAAAAGGGATTGTCGGCAACGGAAGAGAAGAAAGAGAGAGAGGGGCTAAGGCTTTGGCTCTGATACCATGTAGGTTTAGAGAAAAGAAAGAGTTAGGAAATGAGGTAGACTTCATTCCCTTTTATATTGATAATACTGATAAAGGAGTGCCATAGACATAATATAAATAATATAAGGAAACACAATCACATAATCACGTTTTTCCTATTTTAACTTAATTCCTATTCTAACAATCTCATGTATTTATATTTTTATTCCTTGAGGTCCTTTTTTCCTGATTTATATTGTTTGTTGGACTATTATACCCTTATGTCTATTGCTGATATATATTACATAGATAAAGGATATACACGTTTCTTTTTTGTTGCTCCTTCTATTTTGGTAGTTACCATTATTCACGTTTTTCCTCTTGATCAGTTTCATTCACGTTTGTGATATTGTTTCATTGTGCTAGGGTTTTTAAACTATCTGTTTGGTAGGGTTTTGAAGTTCTAGTTTACACATGGTGGTGAGACAATATTATGTTCCTCCATTGTTGCGGTAAAACTTTGCATTCCTCCATTGTCACTTTGTGTTCGAAACTCTGTGTTCGTCCATTGTTTGCTTTGTGTTCGAAACTCTATGTTTCTCTATTGTTGTAAGTCGAAGCTCTGTTTATATCTAGCTAATTTTGTTACAAACATATTCTTCAAATGTGGGTCTAGTTTGATTTAGATTAGTGGAATGGTGAAATTGCATGGATTATTAATGATAGTGATAATGACGAAGATGAGGATGTGAATGATAATTTTTTGTTTTTAGCGATTGAGTTTTTCTTTGGATTTCTAATTTGTTTCTATTTTTTTGTCAATCCGTGTGAATGTTCACATTTCACATTGTTTGGACGTCTGAGAAATAAGTGTTGGAATATAGATATGGACATATTTATATATTTTGCAAAGATGTGAATGTTCACATATTATTGGTTATTTGTTATTTGTTATTATACTTGTTGTTTGAACAATTATTTTTTATTGCTATTAAACAATTGGAATAATTTTTTTTTTTTTTTTCTCTTTCAGTTTTGTTTCATGTTTTCATGTTGCAGTGTGAATATCCACATTGGTATGAATTTAGTTTTTCTAAGTTTAGTAGTATGTTAATTGTAAATTGTTAACATTCACATTGTATTTTGGTCTGAATTTTTTTTTAAAACTTTTTCGAAAGTTAGTTGTATGTTTGTTGTTTTTGTTACTATGTTTGTTAGTTAAACAATCATTTTTGTTACCATTGAACAATCAAAATTGTCGATTTTCACCTTTTTCAATTTTATTTTATATTTTCATGTTTCGGTGTGAATGTTCACACAAGTATGAGTTTATTTTTTAAAAAAACTAGTTGTATATTAATTGTAAATTGTGAACATTCACATAGTATTTTGGTACAAGTTTTATTTTTTTGAAAGTTAATTGTATGTTTATTGTTTTTGTTACTATGCTTGTTAGTTGAATAATCATTTTTGTTACCACTAAACAATTGAAATAATCGATTCACTTTTTTTTTCAATTTTTTTATGTTTCCACGTTGCAGTGTAAATGCTCATATTGGTATGAGTTTATTTTTTTTAAGGCTAGTTGTATGTTAATTTTAAACTGTGAACATTCACATTGTATTTTGGTATGAGTTTTGTTTTTTCAAAAGTTAATTGTATATTTGTTGTTTATTGTGAGCATTCACATTATATTTTAGTATGTGCTTTGTTTTTTCAAAAGTTAGTTGTATATTTGTTATTTACTATGAACATTCACATTATATTTTGATTTTCATTCAGCTGTTTTGCTGCCCTATTTTTAAAATTTTCACATTATAAAAAGGTTCGAAGTTTATAATTTAAGATTTTCTCCATAGAATGAGAGAGCGATTCTCCTTACAATGAGGGATAGATTTTTTACATGGAATGAGGGAAAGATTTTTTCTTTAGAAGGAATGAGAGATTTTTTTCCATAAAATAAGGGACTGCTGTTTCTTTTTATTGTGTATTAGTTTCAAAATAGAAACATGTGCAAAAAATTAAAAAGGGTGATTTGGTCCTATTACATTAAACAGGACTTGATGGAATACTAAAAAAGAATATGGGTTAGATGGAATAAAACACTTAGAAAGAGAATTTATCAAAAAATGACCCATGCTAAAAAGAAACACAAAATGTCAAAATATTTATAATCTTAATACACTTCTCACATATCCTAAAACACTTGCACATTTTAATATACTTTTTACACATTTTTCAACACTACAACCCTAAGAGTTGTTTTTAGCATTTCCCATAATATAATACTACAAGGGAGAAATTACAAAAAAATAAAATAAATAAACACTTAGGATTTGACCCTTATAACATATTAAACCCTGAGTTTTTTATTTTGTCAAATTAAACCCTAAGGGTGTGTTTGGTAACGTTTACGTTTTCAGTTTATATTTACAAAAATTTTATAAACTGGTTTTTGTTTATTTTTAGAAAAACATAAACTACAAACGCGTTTGGTAATTGACAAAATGTTTAAAAATATAAAAAAGAGTGAGAAATGGCAAGTGGTGGCAAGTGGCGGTGGTGGAAAGTGGTAAAGATATACTGACTTGATCGTCGGAGTGCCCCCGGGTGGAAGAGCCACCGCCGGAGCCTTTTCTTTCTGTTGCAAGTTAGCTGAAACCATCTATTCTGCCGGTGCTCTCCAGCTGATTACTAGGCGGGTAGTGTGGTCAGAAAATCACTCACACACGTATCATTGGGTTGAAATTCATGAAAATTTGACAAATTATTTAAAAAAAAAAAGTTTGGACTTTTCAAGCATTGAAATTGGCATTAAAAAGAATTTCAACACAATCGAATAAGTTCACAAAATCAACAGGAAAAAAAACACACCATGCTGTGACAAGGAAAGTATGGATAACAGGATCGGTTGAACAAAAATTTAAATTATAAAAACAAATTAAAAATATTTCTGCAAATATCACGAAACCTATCTTTGGTAAATTAAAAATAATGAAACACAAATATTTTTGATAGAGTCTATAATATTAATATGTAAAATTGTAATTATCATAGGTGGCACAATATAAGGCCTTACTTTTAGGAGGGGTAAATTATAAATACACCTCCTGAGATTTACTTATAATACGGATTGCCCCTATAGTCCCTTGTTAGAATTTTTTATTTAACAGAATTATAACAAAGAAAATAAAATTCCTAACTACTCTCCTATACAACAATAAAATTGCATAAATTGTTAATTGAAACATATTTCCAATATTATTAAAAACTATTAATTGAATTGATGATTTATTAATAAAATGAGTCATTTGCTATGCAATTAGAAACTTGAAGAGACGAGATTAATTTCCAAAACTACATGGGGCAATCCGTATATTAAGGGATCGTTTGGGAAGTGCGTTGACTTTTTAGCTTTTTGGCTATTTTAGCCTAGGGCTAAAAAGCCTCGTTTGGGAAGGGCTTTTTGCTTTTTTGGCTTTTTTGTGAGAGAAAAAATGTAATGATTATGGATTGGATGTGATGTTTTGTCTTATTGGGCTAAAAAGTCTATTTTGTTTTTTTGTGGCTATTTTAGCCAAAAAAGCCCAAACCCTCCCTTCCCAAACGAGCCCTAAATAAATCTTAGGAAGTGTATTTGTAATTTGTCCTTTTTTCAGATTTGTTATATTGTTGTATTCATATCGTATCTGTATCCATACTTCATATACCAGCACGCATAAAGCATTGAACAAACACTTTTTAATGCAAGAGATGAATAATATTGTAAAGACAGAATGACAATAAGAGAGCTATAGTAATATACATAATATAACAATCCAGTAACACACGATTGCCTAGTCATAAAGTAATTGTTTAAGAAAATTTACATGTTTGGGTTGTATTTGTATGTCAAGCAAAGGTATATTTACACATATATAATGTTATATGTATCGGACTAAGTCCTTACCATGCCCATGTCCTAATAGTTTTGGAATTTGACATAATTCTTGTTTTCATGTTGTGTCGTGGTTGTGTACCATGCCTGTGTAAGTTACGATAATTTGATTCAACAGCTTTTTATAATAAAAGAATTTCCAAAGGTTCAGAAAACTCACATTCTTCAGTTTCAGATAAGTAGAGAGTTAAAAGTTGAATTATAAAAAGTTTGAGAAATTACATGTGGCAGAGGAAGCTGCACGAGAATACCATGAACTGAGGGATTCTCGTTATACCTCAACAAAGCCTCACAAACTTCATCTTCTGTACAATTATTGAGCAGTTTGGTCATCACAAAGTTGATTCCAGCTTCTTCGCAAGCTTTTCTTTTGTTACGGACATAGGTTTCAGAGTCCTTTCTTTCACCCACCAAAATTACAGCCAGGCCAGGCACTTTCCCAATGGACTCCTGCATTCTGATTACTTCACCACCTATTCCTGCTATAATTTTTGCAGCCATCGACTTCCCATCAATTACTCTCGCTCTTCGTTCATTGTCTGTGTTGAACCCAAAAGAAAATAAAAATAAAAAAATCAACCACAATGGAGAATAACAAAGTGGTGGGATGGAACCAGAAACAATAGAAAATTCAAAACAAACATATGCAGAATTAGAAATGGAAGAAAATCAAAACTTCAGCAACATGTGAACATGGCCAAGGCCATATCTCAAAAACAAAAAGTTATTTAGTAACGAAAGTCCAAGTTGGCAAGGTTCCTTGTGAGAACAATTAAGCATTGTGGCAGTGTAATATAAAGTACAACAAAGCTTTGCATCAAGTTAGGGAAGGTAGATCTTATAACCACATGCAAGCTGGGTTGCTCAATGTTGATAAAATCATTGACCACCATCTCATCTAAAGCTTAAGTTGTTAGAGAAAGTAGTAATTTTATTATTTATGTCCTCAACAAGGGTAACTCTATTATTTATATCCTCAGCACACCCTTTCACATGTGGCCAAACTCTTCTCCATAAACGGGTCAAACACAAGAAAGTATTATAATTATTTGGAAGGCAATGAGGTTCAAACATAGGATTTACTATATGCTCCAATACCGTGATAAATTGTTGACCACCATCTCTTAGTGTTGTTGTTAGAATCATACAATTCACGATTCGATTCATATGATTTGATACGAGTTTCAACCTATGAAGCACGGGTGCGGGTACAAGTACGATACGGGTATGCCGATACAGCAAGACCCCAAAAAAAAATAGGATACAGGTACAGGTATGACTGGAGTACATCAATAAATTTTTTATTTTTTATAATTTATAGTTTGAGATTCAATCTACAAATCAAAATTCAATACCAAAACTAAACGGAAAAATTACAAAACCAAATGAGAAACCATAGTTCAATAATACCAATACCAAAGCAAAGTCTATAAGCTATTTTAATGCCATTAAATAGGAGAACTTACAAAACAAAGTTTCATTCCAAAAGCAAGCTAAGCAAAATTTAAAAACTTGAAATTTTTGTTTTCACTTCCATCAACTTCATCATTGAATAATACATCTTTCATCTCTGGCAAATCAAATAAAGGATTTGCAATTTCAAGTAAATAAGAACTCTCTAATAAATTAAACGTATCCCCACTAATGTCCCATGACTTGATGTACCCATGAAGTACCCATGTCAAAGAATGTATAAAATCTACCCGTTACGTATTTTGAATACCTGGTACACATGCAGTCCTATCGGTAGTACCAGCACCTAGTAAGTACCCAGTACGAGTACGGCGATATTTTCGAAGTACCGATGCTTCATAGTTTGTGGGTAATTAAGAAAAAGTTATAAATTTAGGGATTATTTTGTAATAATCAAAACATAAACAAATTTTGTTTATGTTACACTTTTATGCAACTAGCAGCAACTCTACGAAGACGAAGACGAAGACGAAGACGAAGACGACTCTCTCAAGGCTCTGGTTCGATTTTTCGCAGCAAGCAGGCAATTATTCGCAGCAAGCTAAGGTAGGCACTCAATATATTTTTCTTCGATTCTCCGTTTTCTTCTTCGTAGATTCTCCCTCTTCTTTCCTTCTCTTTCTTTTTCGATCTGTTCTTCCTCAATTCTTCCTCTTCTTCTTCGATTGTCCTTCCTCTTTCCTTCTCCCTCTTTTTCGATATGTTTTTCTTTGATTCTCCCTCTTTTTCGATCTTTTTTTTTATATATTTTATTTTACATATGTATTTTTTTTTTTTGGCAACTGCTAGAATTAGTTTCAGCCTTTATTATTCTTCCTTCAACTTCGAAAATCATTAGGTAATTTGTTTCCAACACCCTTTCCCATGACTCATGGTATTGCTCTCTTTTGCATCCAATTTTAGACAATAAAAAAAAATTAGATATCATATTATTGTTCAAAAATTAGATATCAGATATTTAGCTATAAATTATAAAAAATTGACGTCCCCCAGCCGTACCCGTACTTGTACTTGTACCTTTCTTTTTTAAGAATTTGCCGTATCGGCACACCCCGTACCTCGTATCCACACCCGCACCAGCACCCACACTCGCACCCGTGCTTCCTAACCCACAAGAAATTTGCCCCAGTACCTTTAATATTGTTAAAAATGCAATTTTTCACCCGAAGTACCCAAAACGTACCAAGAACGTACCCACGACATACCAAAGGCGTACCCACGGCATACCAAAGGCGTACCCACGGCATACCCAAACGTATTTGCCGTACTCAATATGTATTCAGCGTACCCAATACATATGCAGCCATATCAGTACGCGTACCTGCACTTAGTAAGTACCTGGTACTCATACGGCACTATTTTTGGAGTACCTGTGCTTCATAAGTGATAGGTTCCCTTAAAAGAATTGTGTGGGTACAAAAGATGCTTATATGATGACTTTTTTTGCTCAAGTCATTGCATTATGTAAAATTATAACAAAACAAATTTTGGTAAAACAGTTGTGCAATTCTTGTCCATGCATAAAAGAGCAAACAAACTATAGAGCAACTCCTCCCACACTCCCCTATAACATAGTACCTACAATATATGGTTCATTAGTTTATACCTTGATTATTTGTTAGCTAAGGAAATGCTAGCAACAAGTCAATCCAAGAAGGTCAACTGAGGTTGAGTGGAGGATCACCTTGATTTTCATTATCTTCACAGTATTTAGAAAAGAATAGGCAATCATTTGAGGATGATGAACATCTGCCCTTAAGTTCCTTGTCTGATTTCCAAGTGGAATTCAAGGGGTCATTCGCATCTACTTCGCCATTTTTGGATTTTTCAAATAAAGTTATCATAAGCCCATAATACAAAGAGAATTTTAGTTCCCAGGCCAAAATGAACAGCCAGTACCACCATCATATGAACAGTGGTTTTTGATAGCATATAATGTCATGGTATATCCGTCAAAGAACCAATGAAAGTCAGTACTATACCTATCACATTTAAAATTGTGGAGTTGGTGATTGTTTGTGCCTACTCTATATGGCGTAGGTGAATATAGACGAAACCTAAAATTCCAATTACCAAAAAATTACCATAATTATAAAGCCAATTTTAACCAATCAGAAATGATTTTGATCATACGATCCACACACGTATGCAAAAGATGGAGACAGAGAATTTACATGGAAACCTCGAGAACTCTACCCAATGTCAAAAACCACGACCACAAAATCCACCATAGGAACATAAATTACAAAATATATAACGGTTGCAGTTATATAACGGTTTTAAATAATGGTTGCGGTTGCGGTTATCATAATGGTAACAGTAACGTTGACGCGATTGCAGGATGTAACAGTCGTAGCGTAATGATAGCGGCAACCAGAACCGTGAATTTTTTAATTCTTTGCACAACTTTAGGAAAACATACCGATACACATATTTTTATTTCAAAATCATATTTAGTGAGATTCAAAATGATTTTCAGTATTTTTGTTTCTTTAAAACATGATCCAGTATATATATATACTAATTTTTATACTAGTTTTAAGTCGCTATGAAGAATTTTCCTTTTGGTGAATTTATTTAATTTTTTTTGCTTTACTAATTATATTTATGGATAACTTCTGATTTGCTACGAAAATAAATGAAGTACGTTTACAACCCTTAACCTGGTTCACTTAACTCAAAAGTCTTTCACAAACGCTCCTCCACTTCATCTTCACCCCAAGTGACCCAGACATAATCAACCACCTCTGATCCTATAGTGCTCTACCAAGCTCCTTGCTCCAATCTCTGCACTCTGACCTTTCCATTACCAGCAGACAATGATTGAAGGATAACAATATGATGTGAGAGTCTTTATGCATAAACACTCAACCTTGAACAAACCTTGATCGAGCTAATGATGGGATTCACTCAAAACACTGACAAACTAGGTTTTCAAACTCTCAAGAGTGCAAAATTCGTTGCATCTCATGTGTCTCTCACCGTAATCACACAAAAGAATGTTCTTATATCCATGTGTGTTCTTATATGCATGAGAGTCCAAGCCAAATCAAGAAACAAAGTGATCAAATTTCAGCATACGTGCTCGAGTGGCCTTTCTAGTGGAACCCTCTATATTTTGCCGAGTTTCCCACTCGCTTCCTGAGCAAGTGCATAAAGGGCAAGCTAGCATGCTCAAGCTCTCTGTCGAGCACATAATAGGGGCGCAATTATCTGAATCTTTGCAAACAATACCCTGGTTGAGCGCATCAGTGGAAAAATGAGTGGAACTCGTGGATCCATGCATGTCTCCAGCATGCCCGAGCCCTTTATTAGGAGAGGTGTCAAGCAGGCTCCTATTTTTTGATTTTCCAAATTTTTTTTATCAATTTAAAAACATCAAAAAAGTCACAAATTCAAAAACAACAGAGTGAAGACTTTGCATCAATCACAAACTAGTCTCCAATCAATACAAACACACTAACAAACACTCCTATAAGCTAATACAAGACACGACCAGTTCTGTCCTAAGGAAATCCCCACCCTAACATATATTCTAACAACATTAAATTCACTTGCTTCTACTTCCCTTTCCCTTTTTTTTACATGAAATTTTTAAAAAATTTCCTACGATTCTTCACGTAAAAAATAAAAAATAAACAAAAAATAAAATAAATTTGAAAAAAAAAAAAATACATTTTATCATTCTAACTGTTCTTCCCCATAGCAACATCCTTCCAAATACAAGCTAAGTGGTGTTCCATTCAAGGAAGTATCAAATAGTTGATGGAAACAAGTGGCAACACCTCTTGAAGAGTACAAGCATAAGCCTTTTCCTTTATTTCTTATACCCTAGTGTGCATCTAAACAACCCAAACTAGCAAAAGCATTGTTCTACAGTACCGTTCACGGCACCCATAACAACCCAAAAATTGTCCATCTCTCCTATTTAAAGAACCCCCAACGCCCTTCCATACACCATTATAATCCCTAAATATCCCAGCCATGAAAAATAGCGAAAGCCAGTAAGTTAAAAATAAATAAATAAAGCAAAAAGGCAAACATACTTACAGCATTCTCCTATAGATGGAGGATCACAATGCATGGAGTTTGAAGTCCATACATCAGGTACGTCATGGGAAAGAAGAGGAGGAGACTTTATGATTTGTTGACTGGGGTTACTCTTCAAGGTACTGAATGCCCTTGAGCTAAATGGTGATAGGATGCTCTTCCTTAACCATTTATGCCATACAACTGCCATGCTTTGTGCTGTTCTGTTCACCACCGTCACTTTTTTCCTCTTCTTCTTTCTTTCCTCCTCCAGCCACTATATTGCTTTCATTCTCTTTTTCTATCTTTTTCCAACTCTATCTCCCACTCACGTATCTTCAGTAATAAAAATGGAGCCATAATGATGCATCAGTGTATCATAAATTTTGCACTCAAACAGAAATCAAACTAGAAAATTTTCACAGAGGAAAATGAAACAGATTTATAGAAACAAAATGCTATCAAGCAACAGCAATGACCAAAATATCATAATAAAAACAACCTCCACTATTAAAATCAAAATATCAAACCTGAGCACCATTCTTTCCACAATCCTGGTGTTTATCTTATCATGCAGGAATTGCAAGTCAACATGAAAAATGAATGAGAATCCAGCCAGAAATCAGGCAAAGTTACAAATGATGAACAATACTTATCACAAAAGCAGGGTGATTATACCAATAAGCTCCAAATCATATTTCTCCTAAAAGTGACCAAATTCAGTTAAGCCCCTAGAACGATTAGAATGTCTTCAAAGGAACAATGAGAAAAATGACTAAAAGGGGTAAATCAATTTAGTGTTAATCAATCCACAACCATAGTAGATTATACCAACAAGCACCAAATCATATTTCTCCTAAAAATGACCAAATTCAGTTAACCCCCTAGAACAATTAGAAAGTCTTCAAAGGAACAATGAGAAAAATGACTAAAAGGGGCAAAGCAATTTGGTGTTAATCATCCACAATGGTAGTATACGATTGCAATGCCCTACTATAAGCCAGAGATAAATGTTTGAGCAAGACCAAGACCACCCAAGCCAAGGCCATCTAATTGGGGAGAAAAACAACATGCAACCAGGGTAATTATTTTTTATTTTTTTCCTTGGGGTATTACATGAATATGAATGAGACTATAACCTACTAGCTCCCACATCGAAAATTATGTGATGTAGAACGCTTCAGAGAAAGAAGAAGAGAAACGGAGACAAGAGGGAGAAGAGGGCCACAGCCCTAACATAACAGGCCACAGCCTAATTCTCAATATTCTTTAATTCAAAACTAAATGTTACAATGCAAAATCCTAATATATAGGCTAAAAACCCTAACCCAAAATAGGAAATTAGATCCAATAATTATTTGGAAACTTAATCTAATAAGGAACTAAATATACTAAGATCATAATTACTACCACCAAATATTATATACTGATTAAACTATCAATAGAATTAAATAAACATGAATAAAAAATTATAAATAAAATTTTTATGGCATGTTTCGCATCGTTCTCCTCAATTGAGAAAAAGAATCGCCCTCGAGTTCTCCTTCAGACCTCATCATTCCACTGGTTATCTTGTTTTGTTAGATTGTGTTATATATTTTGTTTTTATTTTTTTGCAGCTTAAGCATGTAACTCAAACATAATTTGGTATATATCATATGTATATCAAGCAAAAGAACAAAAAGTATGTTTTTTTTTTGGCTAGCCTATATTTATGTAAATATGATGTTGAGTTTTTAAATATTTACTCTTGTTTTGGGCATTATGTTAAATGATTTTTCGCATTAAATTATGGTCAGATCAAATGTAATCCTTTAAGAAAGAATTAAAGCATTCACTAAGTTGTGTGCTACTCATGCCTGCATCCCACGGCTAAGAAGCACAGACACGGACACGACATGGATATGTTAACACAACAATTTTCAAAAAATACAGAACACGACACGTGGGGGACACACACAAAATATATAATTTTATATATTTATTATATGTTATATATATGAATATATCACTTGTCATATATAAGAATATATCACTCCAAGACAATATATAAATGCAATATAACATTAATTTCTACAAATTGACATTATTTTTCTTTTATCATCGTATTCTAAGTTATTTTATTCGTACTTATAATTAGTTTTGTGTGTCTAATCAATAGACACGTGTGTTTAAACAATGGACGCGTGTGTCCTCCAAGTGTCCAAAGAGTGTCCGAGTCTAAATTCTATTTAAAAAAATAGGACACATTTGGATGATTGTCGAACACGTGTCGGGAAATTGTTCGACGAGTGTCAGTGTTTGACACCAACACGACATCGACAAACCACCTTTTTAGAAGTCCATGCTTCTTAGCCCCACGGTGACCTAACATATGGCCAACCCCATTTTCTTTTACCCCAAATGTCAACTTCAACCAATGATTATCACACATTTCATACTTGTCAAGCATTTCCTCCCACGCTAACATAAACTCATCTTCATCCTAAATGTCATACATAAATTTTGAAAAAACATCATTGATTCCCTTATCCTTGAAGATGCAATTTATGTGCCTTAATGCATTTTGCATAAAATGCCACATGCAATACGGTGGATTGTGCCAGGTTTCACAATGGGTATGGCCTTGGCCATTGTACCATCTTGATCGGTAAAAATTGTCTTTGGAACCTTGTTTGACATTGCCTCCAAGAATGTTCTAAAAAGCCATATAAAATAATTGGCGGTCTCATCATACATTAAAGTTGCGACAAATACAAGTGCTTCTCAGTGATGGTTAAATCCAACGAAAGAAGCAAATGGTCTATGTTCACTATGTAACTTGTAAGTGGTGTCAAAAGTAATTGCATCACCAAATTGTTTGTAATCCATGATCATCTAAGTATCGACCCAAAATATGTTAGTAATTTGCTCCTCATTATCTAATTGGACAGAGTAAAACAAAGACAGATTCTCTAATATTTTTTCACGAAAGATTTGTAACACACTATCTGCCTCCTCATATGCAAAACTTTTTTTGCCTCATGGTTCTAAAACAGTTTTGTGAACCCAAACGACTCCCTTCCACCAGCTTCCCTACCTATGAGCTCAAATGATGCGCTAAGACAGATTCTAGATTGTTCGGCTAGTTCTACTTCAGCTGCATGTGAAGTAGATATCTTCCTTTTAGATGGTAACATATGGGCACATTTTGGTGGTACAAGGGAATGGTTGTGTTTCTCAACAAAATTGCTAACAATATATCTTCTCATATGCTTATCCCACTTAATGTTAAGTCAGGCTTCACAGCCAATCCTCACTTCTTGCCTAGGATTTTTAATTAACGGATCTCGCTTGTTTCAATAGTCAGAAACCCCTCATTATTGCAAACAAATACCCTGAACTAATATGCCCCTCCTTTCACTTGCTAAGATAGCCCCTTCTAATGTTAAAGCCTACCCTTCCCTTATTTTGCATCAAATGTCATGTCAACTCTAGGCTTCCAACCACAATCGCCCAAGTCCTCTACATTGTTAAGTTCCATTTAAATCCTTAGCACACTAAATAATTTTTCTTATTTCCATATATATAAACAGTGAGAATTTTTGAATTATTATTTATTTATATTTAAACAGAAATCTTTTTTTTTATATATTTTATTTTACATATGTATTTTTTTTTTTTGGCAACTGCTAGAATTAGTTTCAGCCTTTATTATTCTTCCTTCAACTTCGAAAATCATTAGGTAATTTGTTTCCAACACCCTTTCCCATGACTCATGGTATTGCTCTCTTTTGCATCCAATTTTAGACAATAAAAAAAAATTAGATATCATATTATTGTTCAAAAATTAGATATCAGATATTTAGCTATAAATTATAAAAAATTGACGTACCCCAGCCGTACCCGTACTTGTACTTGTACCTTTCTTTTTTAAGAATTTGCCGTATCGGCACACCCCGTACCTCGTATCCACACCCGCACCAGCACCCACACTCGCACCCGTGCTTCCTAACCCACAAGAAATTTGCCCCAGTACCTTTAATATTGTTAAAAATGCAATTTTTCACCCGAAGTACCCAAAACGTACCAAGAACGTACCCACGACATACCAAAGGCGTACCCACGGCATACCAAAGGCGTACCCACGGCATACCCAAACATATCTGCCGTACTCAATATGTATTCAGCGTACCCAATACATATGCAGCCATATCAGTACGCGTACCTGCACTTAGTAAGTACCTGGTACTCATACGGCACTATTTTTGGAGTACCTGTGCTTCATAAGTGATAGGTTCCCTTAAAAGAATTGTGTGGGTACAAAAGATGCTTATATGATGACTTTTTTTGCTCAAGTCATTGCATTATGTAAAATTATAACAAAACAAATTTTGGTAAAACAGTTGTGCAATTCTTGTCCATGCATAAAAGAGCATACAAACTATAGAGCAACTCCTCCCACACTCCCCTATAACATAGTACCTACAATATATGGTTCATTAGTTTATACCTTGATTATTTGTTAGCTAAGGAAATGCTAGCAACAAGTCAATCCAAGAAGGTCAACTGAGGTTGAGTGGAGGATCACCTTGATTTTCATTATCTTCACAGTATTTAGAAAAGAATAGGCAATCATTTGAGGATGATGAACATCTGCCCTTAAGTTCCTTGTCTGATTTCCAAGTGGAATTCAAGGGGTCATTCGCATCTACTTCGCCATTTTTGGATTTTTCAAATAAAGTTATCATAAGCCCATAATACAAAGAGAATTTTAGTTCCCAGGCCAAAATGAACAGCCAGTACCACCATCATATGAACAGTGGTTTTTGATAGCATATAATGTCATGGTATATCCGTCAAAGAACCAATGAAAGTCAGTACTATACCTATCACATTTAAAATTGTGGAGTTGGTGATTGTTTGTGCCTACTCTATATGGCGTAGGTGAATATAGACGAAACCTAAAATTCCAATTACCAAAAAATTACCATAATTATAAAGCCAATTTTAACCAATCAGAAATGATTTTGATCATACGATCCACACACGTATGCAAAAGATGGAGACAGAGAATTTACATGGAAACCTCGAGAACTCTACCCAATGTCAAAAACCACGACCACAAAATCCACCATAGGAACATAAATTACAAAATATATAACGGTTGCAGTTATATAACGGTTTTAAATAATGGTTGCGGTTGCGGTTATCATAATGGTAACAGTAACGTTGACGCGATTGCAGGATGTAACAGTCGTAGCGTAATGATAGCGGCAACCAGAACCGTGAATTTTTTAATTCTTTGCACAACTTTAGGAAAACATACCGATACACATATTTTTATTTCAAAATCATATTTAGTGAGATTCAAAATGATTTTCAGTATTTTTGTTTCTTTAAAACATGATCCAGTATATATATATACTAATTTTTATACTAGTTTTAAATCGCTATGAAGAATTTTCCTTTTGGTGAATTTATTTAATTTTTTTTGCTTTACTAATTATATTTATGGATAACTTCTGATTTGCTACGAAAATAAATGAAGTACGTTTACAACCCTTAACCTGGTTCACTTAACTCAAAAGTCTTTCACAAACGCTCCTCCACTTCATCTTCACCCCAAGTGACCCAGACATAATCAACCACCTCTGATCCTATAGTGCTCTACCAAGCTCCTTGCTCCAATCTCTGCACTCTGACCTTTCCATTACCAGCAGACAATGATTGAAGGATAACAATATGATGTGAGAGTCTTTATGCATAAACACTCAACCTTGAACAAACCTTGATCGAGCTAATGATGGGATTCACTCAAAACACTGACAAACTAGGTTTTCAAACTCTCAAGAGTGCAAAATTCGTTGCATCTCATGTGTCTCTCACCGTAATCACACAAAAGAATGTTCTTATATCCATGTGTGTTCTTATATGCATGAGAGTCCAAGCCAAATCAAGAAACAAAGTGATCAAATTTCAGCATACGTGCTCGAGTGGCCTTTCTAGTGGAACCCTCTATATTTTGCCGAGTTTCCCACTCGCTTCCTGAGCAAGTGCATAAAGGGCAAGCTAGCATGCTCAAGCTCTCTGTCGAGCACATAATAGGGGCGCAATTATCTGAATCTTTGCAAACAATACCCTGGTTGAGCGCATCAGTGGAAAAATGAGTGGAACTCGTGGATCCATGCATGTCTCCAGCATGCCCGAGCCCTTTATTAGGAGAGGTGTCAAGCAGGCTCCTATTTTTTGATTTTCCAAATTTTTTTTATCAATTTAAAAACATCAAAAAAGTCACAAATTCAAAAACAACAGAGTGAAGACTTTGCATCAATCACAAACTAGTCTCCAATCAATACAAACACACTAACAAACACTCCTATAAGCTAATACAAGACACGACCAGTTCTGTCCTAAGGAAATCCCCATCCTAACATATATTCTAACAACATTAAATTCACTTGCTTCTACTTCCCTTTACCTTTTTTTTACATGAAATTTTTAAAAATTTTCCTACGATTCTTCACGTAAAAAATAAAAAATAAACAAAAAATAAAATAAATTTGAAAAAAAAAATACATTTTATCATTCTAACTGTTCTTCCCCATAGCAACATCCTTCCAAATACAAGCTAAGTGGTGTTCCATTCAAGGAAGTATCAAATAGTTGATGGAAACAAGTGGCAACACCTCTTGAAGAGTACAAGCATAAGCCTTTTCCTTTATTTCTTATACCCTAGTGTGCATCTAAACAACCCAAACTAGCAAAAGCATTGTTCTACAGTACCGTTCACGGCACCCATAACAACCCAAAAATTGTCCATCTCTCCTATTTAAAGAACCCCCAACGCCCTTCCATACACCATTATAATCCCTAAATATCCCAGCCATGAAAAATAGCGAAAGCCAGTAAGTTAAAAATAAATAAATAAAGCAAAAAGGCAAACATACTTACAGCATTCTCCTATAGATGGAGGATCACAATGCATGGAGTTTGAAGTCCATACATCAGGTACGTCATGGGAAAGAAGAGGAGGAGACTTTATGATTTGTTGACTGGGGTTACTCTTCAAGGTACTGAATGCCCTTGAGCTAAATGGTGATAGGATGCTCTTCCTTAACCATTTATGCCATACAACTGCCATGCTTTGTGCTGTTCTGTTCACCACCGTCACTTTTTTCCTCTTCTTCTTTCTTTCCTCCTCCAGCCACTATATTGCTTTCATTCTCTTTTTCTATCTTTTTCCAACTCTATCTCCCACTCACGTATCTTCAGTAATAAAAATGGAGCCATAATGATGCATCAGTGTATCATAAATTTTGCACTCAAACAGAAATCAAACTAGAAAATTTTCACAGAGGAAAATGAAACAGATTTATAGAAACAAAATGCTATCAAGCAACAGCAATGACCAAAATATCATAATAAAAACAACCTCCACTATTAAAATCAAAATATCAAACCTGAGCACCATTCTTTCCACAATCCTGGTGTTTATCTTATCATGCAGGAATTGCAAGTCAACATGAAAAATGAATGAGAATCCAGCCAGAAATCAGGCAAAGTTACAAATGATGAACAATACTTATCACAAAAGCAGGGTGATTATACCAATAAGCTCCAAATCATATTTCTCCTAAAAGTGACCAAATTCAGTTAAGCCCCTAGAACGATTAGAATGTCTTCAAAGGAACAATGAGAAAAATGACTAAAAGGGGCAAAGCAATTTGGTGTTAATCATCCACAATGGTAGTAGACGATTGCAATGCCCTACTATAAGCCAGAGATAAATGTTTGAGCAAGACCAAGACCACCCAAGCCAAGGCCATCTAATTGGGGAGAAAAACAACATGCAACCAGGGTAATTATTTTTTATTTTTTTCCTTGGGGTATTACATGAATATGAATGAGACTATAACCTACTAGCTCCCACATCGAAAATTATGTGATGTAGAACGCTTCAGAGAAAGAAGAAGAGAAACGGAGACAAGAGGGAGAAGAGGGCCACAGCCTAATTCTCAATATTCTTTAATTCAAAACTAACTGTTACAATGCAAAATCCTAATATATAGGCTAAAAACCCTAACCCAAAATAGGAAATTAGATCCAATAATTATTTGGAAACTTAATCTAATAAGGAACTAAATATACTAAGATCATAATTACTACCAACTGTTAAAATTGATGTATTATTATTGATGGATGATTGATAGATTACAAGATTGATAAATTACAATTCCTATACAATCTATATATAGAAGAAAATGTGGTAGTAGGTGTAGTGGAGGTGATAGTGGGTTAGGTGAAGTGGAGTGTGT